TAAAATTTTAATTAAATCTATTAAATTTTAATTGTTGATATTTATTTATATTTATTAAAAATAATTATTTTTTTACTTAAAAAATCATAATAAATCTCAATTATTAAAAATAAATAGTTGAATTACCAAAATTTTATATAAATATAATATATAAAATTTATGTATAAATAAATTTTTGTATATATATAATATTCTAATTATATTAATTTTGATTATAAAAATAGTTTAGCTTGGCCATCCAATTAAGGAAAAAAGAAATAAAGAGATGTGGAAGGCATCTAGAGTGTCCGATTGTCAATGGTATATAGGTAGCAGCCTGCCTAGTTAGTAATTGGATCATCTTAGCTAGACTGCATTAAAGTTGGGCTGAAAGCGAAATCTAACAACTGTAAATGGCATAATAATTAGTCATGGGGATATATATTGAGTGCCAATTCCAACACCCCCTTCTCTTCAACATTTCCCGACAAAGTCGTTGACAAAAGCTGACCTTTTCTATTTCTATTACAGAGTAGGATTTTTAATTTTGTTTTAAAGTAGTGCTCCAGGTTACATTTGATCTGAGGGTCAGCCCAGATTCCCATCTCGAATTGCTGAAGCCGTCCAACTGCCCTGTTTCTAATTTCTTAATTAATTAGCCACCTTCTCTCATTAAAGGACAAGGCATTTCTTCACGATCCATACCTTGACTCGAAAGTTTCTCAATATCCCAACTAAAGGAAAGGGATTGCAGCGGGAGGGTAGTGAAAGTTGATTAAATCACTTTAATTAATAAATAAATAAAAAGTAATTATTTATGAAAATTAGCCATCAAATAATATTTAAATTATAGCTAACAACTTAAATGACATTGAATATGATTTATATGGTATGTGAGCCGCATGAATTATGAAAAATGATAAGAGATGATTGTTTGTTGTTATATAATTCAATATATATATCATCATTTATATATGAAAAAATTTGTCTCAAAATAATAATAATTTTTTAAAATTTTAAAAAATAAATATTTTTTTGTTCTAATTTTATTATTATTTCTTAATTTTAATTATCTATTTTATCATTAAAAACATTTCTTTATTTTTTAAAGTAAAATGAATAAAAATAAAAAATCATTCCCAAATCCTTAATTCATAAATAAAAGAAAATAATATATTATAATAAGCTAAAGGAAGTACATGCAAGATATTAGTCACTCACTGGGGATCCCAACTTCTCCAAGTGACTAAGCTCTGTTAATTGGGCGAAGGAGATCCTCACCGAACGATTTCGAGCACCCAGCCCCGTCCCCCACCGGATCTGCTAACCATCTGCCGCTGCCCTACTCCATACAAATTTTTTCTAAAAAAAAAAAGAGGAAAGAGAAGTTAGTCACGAAATAGCAATTCAATTCACATTTAGGCTGAGAAAAAAAAGACAATATCATCATTTTAATTTTTCTTTATTTTACATAAAAAAGTCAAGTAATGTTTATATCTTTCAATTTTTCACGAGGACCAAGTGGGACGTGGAAAATTTCTTGCTAATTTTCGCAATCAAAAAAATCCTCCTTTCCTTGCCCTCCACCCCCTAGTGGGTAGGGTTGGGGGCAATTTTTCCTCCGCATATCGAAGTAGTAGTCTTACTCATTATGTTTTGACTTTCTCCCGCATGTTATGATAACAACCACATCGATCTGCACCAGGTTCGAACCACAGCTTATGAATATATGCCTGCCAATTGGGTAATGTCAAAGCAATTGATGCACCTACCAAATTTGAATCATGCCATTGTATCAATTAATCACATAATTGTGGCTATACTCCACCACGCATCAAGATTTTGCAATTTAACGCTCATGAATAAATCTATTGTTCTCAGCAAAGCTATGCAATATCGCAGAGACCCAAAAAAAAAAAAAAATAAACCCTTTTTTTTTTTTTTTTAACATGTAAGAAGTCTGATAGAATATCAATATGTGTAAGTGCCGGTGCTTGATAACTCTCCAAAGATCGATTCTTGTCATTCTAGCAGTAGTGGTGGAACTACTAAGGGAAAGGATTGGGCACTGGCCCCACCATTCCCCTTAAAAATAATAAGAAAAATGAAATTAGAAAAAAGAAAGCTTTACCTTGGTAATTGTCATAAATACCTAAGTAATGTTAAGTTTTATTAATTTAATAATTAAAGGTGCAAACTTTAATAGCTCTTAAGTAAGGATTTCAATTCTTACTTTTTTTTCACCCATTAGTGGATTCCAATATTCGATGATGATGTGAAAATTATTTGCAAAAGAAAGCTTCATTAGTGCTTTATTTAGTGTAATTAATAATTTTAAAATATTAAAAAATTTAAAATTTAAAATACACTTTCTCTCTGTTTCCCTTAGGTCCATCTTCATTTTCCTCCTCTCACCATACCATTAATAGCTGGCTTTGGAGAATTTGATGTCAAATGCAAAAAAAATCCATATTGGTGCACAAATAGCAACCACCAAGAAATCAAATGACATTAACACAACTAATCTTAATAAAATGGACATAATTTAGGAATTAAGAAAAAGTGAATTTTGTATATTGTTTGAGAAATAATGCTCGTTATTTAAATTCTTAAGCATAAATAAAAAATAATTTAAAAAATAATAAATTCATAGTTTAAATAATTATACCTTAAAAATGAGTTTATAAATCTTTTAAAAATATTTTAAAATATTTTATTATCTAATAAGTGTTGACTCAATATACTCCAAGAAGGGGTGAATTGGAGTTTCAAAAATTCTCTTATTTTGCAATCACAACACCAAAATTAAAGAGAGTGGAGAAGAACAGCTTATTCAATGATTTTATAGATGTTCGATCCAATCACTTGGAACTTAGTTCTCTACTTTGTCTTCACTCATCAAGGATTTCCTCCACACTCTCCACTAAGAAAACAATGGTGGTTTAAAGGAGCCACTCAATTCTTTTACAAGAAAATGAGTATTTTTCTCAAATCTCACCCCTTTACAAGATAAACTCCGAGAATCCTCTCTATAAATCACTCTCGAAGGATTAATCACACCTCTAAGATCACTCACAAATAGAACAAGAAGAGGATTACAAGTAAAGATCTCTCAAAGATCAAAAACTCAAGTTAAAGCTTATATAGGTAGGTAAAGATATTCAATGCAATACTCTCTAATCTTGTTCCAGATCTTCTACCAACCATATTTATAATCCCATGATCGAAAATAGCCGTTACTAGCCGTTAGAGA